TTTAACAATTTTTAAATATAATTGGAATTGATAAGTGCACAAAGCATTTCCAAAAATTATAAAATGAAATGTGCCATATAACATAATAAATATTTTGTTTTTCACATAACAAAAAGAAAATTATAAGATTTTTATAAAAAATATGATATTGTCAATGATTATCACTGATTTATGAAAATTTAATAATGAAATATATAAAATAAACATTATATAATGCATATATAATATATATGATATATGTGAGTGAGAGAAAAACTAACTAAACTTTGAATTAAAATAATTGGGAAAAGATATTACAAAGTATTATTATATTCCAAGAATTTTTTTGCAATATTTGTAAATTGTATTTGCTATTTTATATCTTGTTAAATGTATTATAATTAAGAATAATTTCGAAAAATTTTTTTACTATGTATATCCTCTTATAAAAGAATGGCTTTTTACAAGTAATTTTTTGTATGATGTAAAAATATATAGCAAAACATATATAACATAAATATAACATAATTAAATTTACATAAATATATTATAAGCTAGTTTTTGAATAGCAAAAACCTATGTATATATATATGTAAAAAAAATTACTCATAGGTAAATTAGTTATATTTGCAGTTATCATAGACAAACAAATAAATTTGAACATCTATTTGATATAAATATTTATTGGATTTAACTAATAACTAATAAAACATTTTAAGTCCTTTTGCATATAGATATTTAGAAACACAAATTATATAATAATATTACATATTAAATTGAAAATATTCTTTCTAAATTTAATTAAACAAATTCTGAAACAAAATGTGATTGTTGTATTTTAACATATTAAATATTACTCTTTATAATCATAAATATTAATCTTTACAATCATATAGATTATAAAATTTTAAAGACTTTTCTTTTATTAAACAGTTATTTACTTTAAACTTTACTAAATAAAATTAATGCAATATACATTAAATCATATATTAATATGAAATATTTTCAAATAATACAAATAAATTAGTGTCATAAAAATTTTAAATTAATCATAATATTTTTTATTGTTAATAATTTCATTCATTATTCAATAATCTTCACTGACAAATTTGTAATTTAATTATTTCTAATATAATTTTTGTAAACATATATATATCTGTAATTTTGCTTAAATGCATGTAATTAATATATATTTGTATACATATTACATTGCAGGTGATTTTTTAAAATATATATAAAAATGTAAGTTAATTATATATATATATTTACAAGAAAAAAATTTATATTGGTTTCTATAAATATAAAAATAAGAGTTAAAATTTAAATAACTGTGCCAAAAACAGAATCATTTTATATAAGCTTATCAAAACTCGTTCAATTTTTAAGATATTTATATAAAAGTTACTCTTTAAAGTTTAATATATAATTTTTTTTTTACACCAATTATTATTATACTAAAAAGATTACCTGTAATAAACTATATTTTAGTGTGGAAATATATTAAATGCAATTACTCTGTATATATATAGAATGAGTGATATAATATTCACACATTCATATACATATATATATGCGCGAAAAAGTTAAGCACATATAGACATTTTTTCTTCATTACATTCCTGTATTTACATTTATGTATTACATATATTGCAATTAAGCATATTTCAAAATCTATTATTGATTGTATTATATATATAATAATAAATATTATATATATAATAATAATAACATATAATTATCAATAATTTAATAATTACAGATTTTAATATAACTTATTAATCATGCAATATAATGCACTAGTAAATAAAGACTTCCATACATACATAACATATTGATTATTCTTTTTATTTTATATATATTAATAGTTTTGTATATTTATATAATTTTATATAATTATTTTTTTAAAAAAATATAATTATTTATTATAATAAGAATATAATTTTTTTTTATTATAAAATAATATTTATATGAGAAATTTAAAAAAATATTTATTGATATAATTATTATAAAATCAAAATATATTGAAATTAAATATATAATTTTAGAATAATTATGTACATAATAATACTTAAAATCATTTTTAAGTTTAATATATAAAATTATAAATTAGAAAAGTTAATAATTTTACAGGTTGTTGATAATGCTTTAAAGTATTAAGCATGAAACTATATTAAAATATATTTAATATTTAAAGAAATATAACAAATTATTATAAAATATAGCAAGTTAATGCGCGTGCGTGAAAAATTGTATGAAATCTGGCATTTCCATAATTCAAGAGATGGAAGTATAGCAGTGGAACGTTTAAGGAAATAAAAGTACGTGAAATTCATTTTACTTAGGAAATGTTAATGAGTTTTGTTATATGGTTTATATTGTTAAGTTGAGAAGGTGTAGAAATGTCACGATCAAAATCTGAAAAGATTGGAAATGGTAATAAATGTGAATTAAGTGTATGGACACGTGCGATAACAGCTAATTCCGAATGGCCAGACAAAGTAAACATAACCACACTTTGATTAATTATGTTTTTCGTTTATTTTTATGAATTCACTTATTTATTAATTTAATTATTATAGGAAGAATTTTTGGATGTTATATATTGGGCTAGACAAGCAATTGGTATTATAGTTGGTATAGGATGGGGTCTTATACCTTTAAAAGGTTTTATAGCTCTACTATTGTAAGTTAAAATAGTTTATCTAGATCTATATATATATATATTAAATTTGTGATTTATATTTTAGATTTGTATTAGTTAATGCAGGTATTACATACCTGTATTTTAGCAATTTTCAACAAATTGACGAAGAAGAATTTGGTGGTATATGGGAATTAACTAAAGAAGGTTTTATGACATCATTTGCTGGTTTTTTGGTAATTTGAAGTTATTTAATTTTATTTATTTTAAACTTTTTAAAATCATAATTTTATGATATTTTTATTCATAGGTCACATGGATCATTATATATTCAGGATTACATTTTGATTAATCATTTTTAAACTAAAAATATTAATGCATATAAAATATTAATATTTTTCAAGAATCAAGTATGCAATTTATCTATATTTTGTGGAAAACAAGTTTTTCATATAGATTATATGTTTTGAATTTGATATATTTAATAAACATACAATAGAATTATTTGTTACTTACTTGGATAACTCTTGTTACATGAAATTAAATATTACATACAAACTATTCATCTATTAGAAAGTTTTTTTTGATAGAAAATTAGTAAATTTTAAAGATTAATTATTTGTTATTAAAAACAATGCTTTTAAATGTTAATTATAAAACATTTTTATTTTACATTTAAAATTTTTTGTTATATGTCATTGATATAAATAAATAATGTAAATTATGTTATAAGTATTGCATATGCCAAATCAGATTATATGCAAATAATTAATACATAACAATTATATATAATTAATATAAATAAACATTTTAAGTAATTATATTGCTCAATATTTATAAGGTTTAATATAACTATATTCATATTTGAATATATTATTCATGACAAATAATGGTCTTAGATTTACTTTTAACAAATTATATAAATAAAAGATAAATTTAAAATATCAATATAATTTTAATATATATTATTCTAATGATATTTCTAAAAATAATTATAAATACAAAACTAATTAATATCAAATTATACATATTAAATAAAAATAGTATACTTTAAATTTCATTTAACATAATTTATTTAAGATATATAATATCATGTATAAAATTTTAAAAAATATGTTAATAAAATGCCAATATATTTATAAAAAATATATTGAAATTAACCAATCATTAATCGTTTTCGTCCTCGTGATTGTACTTCCTTATATTTAGAAACAATTTCTCTACATTGATTTTTATTTATATAATGTATTTGATAAATATCAAATATTTTTGAAAATAATGAAGGTATTTCTGAATGTACACTTAATAATGATCGTTCAAGAACATATAAATCGACTGCTTTATCTTCTATGCTTGATTCTATACGAGCTAATCCAAAATCTATTATAACAAAATTATTCGCAACTACAACGAAAAAAAAATGTTAAATTATTAAAATAATATTAATTATGTAATAAATTATTATAATTGTATACCATCATATTTTTCAATATAATTGTTGTCAATATTTTTTAAAAGAATGTTGGAAGTAGTTAAATCCCCATGAATTATATTTTTCAAATGTAATTTAGCAATAAGTATTCCAAGTCCTTGTGCTATAAAATTTAACAAATGATCAATATCTGCTTCTTTCAAAATGTTTTTATAGAGAAAATCTTTTAATATTATTGCATCTTGTATATATTCCATATAAATACATCGTCGTTCTAAATTTATCAAATATATAGCTGGTGTTGCAATTCCTAAAAAAAGAAAGAAAACTTTTTAGAAAAAAGAAAATATAAATTTAATATATTATTGATATTCATATTATTTTACCTGCAATTTTAGCACGAAGTATAGCACGACATTCGGCTTTTATTCGATCTTTTGTGAGACGTGTGTCCAAGTCTGGATGTCTATATTTCTTTTCGAATCTTTCCTTGATTAATGTTAACTTTCCTAAATAAGTGCCCTTATATATACGTGCTTCAGCACCTTGTGCTATTAATTCAAAATCTTTTATATTATTCAACATCTGAAATATATATTTCATTTGCATTTTTTCTATTTTTAAAACTTTTATTATTTATATTAATGAATTAGTTTATTAAATTAAAAAAAAACATTTAAATTTATATTTAGCGATTATCAATATAAAAAAAATTTATTTTTTTATAATTTAAAAATGTTAAATTAAAAGTACATTAATTAAAATATTTATATATATAATAATTTTATATTTTTGAAATTTATTTATAATATAATCAATATTCAAAATGATAAGTTATTAGAAACAAAAAATGAAGTTATTCGCGCTAGTAAGGGCAAGATGAGGGCGAAATGCGAATCGATCGTTACCCAAGAGCGTCCTGCGCGCTAATCGCTATCCCGGCGCTAGTATTCGCCCATACTTTGTTCCTATCGGATTGACAAGCTAATACTGTGCTTTTTTGTTTTGTTTGAATTATAAAAAAAAATTTTTTATTTAATTAGTAAAAATGAGGGACGAAGTGAAGATGGATGCAAATCGGTTAATTGCCGAAGTTTACAAGCGGCCAGCGCTTTGGAACCAAAGGCATATCTCTTATCATAATCGCGAGGTGACGAACCGCGTTTGGATGGAGATTGCATCGATATTCAAGTTACCCAGTAGGTTGCTGAAATCGTTTTTCATATATCTCATTCGCGCGCGCATTTTTGTGATCCATTCTATTAACAGGTTTTTAGTCTCATTTATAATAAAATAAAACTTATTTAAGTATACTTAAATATAAGTATAAATTGTTACTATTATAATATAATAAAAGAATTATTAAAATATTAAATTTTAAATATTAAAAAGTACTATTTTTAATATACTCATTATGTATTTATCTAATGATTTAAATTTTATAATAATAGCGTAAAAATACTTAAAATTTCATATGTAAGAAAAATTTTTTATATTACAATTATTTTAATTATTACATAAAAATATATACATAAAATATGTATGTACGTTTTGATGATGCAAATATTATTTGATTTCATTGTATAGTATTTTAATGTATTCGTGAATAGTGATCCAGTTAACCTTACTTTTTTATAGTGATATGTTACTGAATATATTGTATTTTAAGACAATTTATAATCTTAATTTAATATACAAATCTTAATATCACTTAATACTTTATTCTATGAATTACTTATAACTTACAATTTATTATTGTTTACCGTATTAAAGCTGAGAAAGATTTAAATGTATGTATGTAAGTACAAACTTGTTAGTTAAAGACGCATGCGTACAAGCAGTCAATAAATTTCAATTATCGCATTTATTTATAAATTATTTCTATTATTTGTAATTTTTGTTATTCATATTTTAATTCACAATTATATTTTATAAAAATGATGTTTTACATTATTATACATTATTTTATATGCGTATGTATATCATAAAATATACTATGTGCGAGCGTGTGTACGCGCATGTATGTGTTAATATAATTTTATAATTTAATTGAAATCAATTAATCTTATTAAATTAAAGTGATGATATTAAATACATAAATTACTAATTAAATAAATGATATAGTTAAAATACTTCGTATTCACATTTTTCAGAACCAGTATTAAAAGCAAAATGGAAAGGTTTGCGAGATACTTTTCGAGCAGAATTAAAAAAGGATCAAGTTTATCGCAAAAGTAAATTTCATCGAAATAGGCCAGTATGGATACATTTCAAAAGTTTGCAATTTTTAAAAGAACAAATGTTACCTCGACCTCCTATTTGGGAACGAAGTAATTCTTGTCAAGATGATGATCGAGTACCTAGTGAAAGCGAGAGCGATGGAGCTTTGATACAGAATGGTTCGTCGGTAACAAGCAGAAATGTGGAAGATCGAAATACGATTGCAAATCATCTACTGTCGATAAATAGCGACAACGGATTAAAGATCGACGCTGTCAATCATATAGATGTGAAACAAGAACCTGAGGAGAATTTTGACAATCTTGAATTTCAAAGTGTTTCCGACAATCTCACTGAAAACGAAATGATGTTACAAAATATTTCTCCTGAACAGGTGCTCATGGGTGAAAATGACACTAATATTGGTATACCAGTAGATCCTTTAGAAGGCAATCGTTTTGATGATAATTATTATTTTCTTATGAGTCTTTTACCACATATAAGAACATTGCCTGCTGACAAAAGAATGTTACTCAGAATGCAAATGCAAGAATTAGTTTATAAGGAAGTTTATAAGAAAAATTCGGATAGCATTACAGCATCGTAAAAAAATGTTAAAAATAAGTATTTTTAAAGAAATATCTATATGTGTTTTGTTGGAATCAATTAAATCATCAAAATATCATTAACTATTCGCGATAACATTAATATGAAACAAATTGTTTTATTAAAAATTAATCAACAAATTAATAGGTTGAAGAAATAACATAATAAAGAGCTATAGTCTTATTTAAGTTAATATTTTCAACAAATTTATACTCCGTAGGTTGAGAAACACTGGTGCTTTCTCGTACCTGCGGGTACGACCGTGATGTTTAGTGTGGTGTATATAGGTGTAGTAACGTATTCGTGTATTCACGACATTCCTGTTTCGTTGCGCATGCGTACCTGCCATAGCTCCTCTCGACTAATCGTTTCGTTCATTTTCGTGTTACGATTCGGTTGTGCTTTCGTTAGTTTGTTCGCGATTGCCAAAGATCATTGTGTCCATGCATTTATAGTTTTAAATTTGAAATTGTGCATTTAATTAATTTATGTGCAGGTGTACCTGTCTGTGTCAAAGATATTTATTGTGTGTATTTTTTGTGAATCTATTACCTGATTAAGGTTTAGTGTATACAGGTGTTTACTTCAGGTGACAGAAAGGTGCATCTGCCTCGGATTTTCAATTTTTAATTCTATATGTTCTGTATTTAACTATGCGTTTGTAAGAAATTTATTCGCTTCTTTGTTGAACAGACTATTCAAAACTGACAAACTCATATATTAGAGAATATAATTTCTCTATATTTTATTGAAATTATATATACCTACTGTTCAGTTCAAGGTGAGTCAACGAACGAACAGCAATGCAAGGAACGTTCTGCTGTTTTTTTTAAATTCATATTCTTTAAATATTACAATTTTATGTAAAACAAATATTGTTTAACGAAACACAAAATAATAGTTATTTTAACAAATAATACTAAATTTAATGTAATATTTTAATTTTATTCTTAAATATTATTTGTGTCATTTCTTTAGTACAGAATAAAAATAAGTTCTGAACAATAGTCAACCAGTAAATAACATAAATTATTTAGATTTAAAATAACTATTTAATAATTAGGATATTTATATTTTTTATTATTAAAAATAATATTTTTAATAATATTTCGCATAAAAACGTATTGCAATATATATATGTGTATATATATATATATATATATATA